GCCTCTCGGATGGAGGGAAGCTCCTGGTGGTGCCCATGGTGGGAAGCCACTGGCTGAGCATGCAGGAAGTGGTGGAGGAGCTGAGCAAGAGAGGACATGAGGTGGTGGTGCTGGTTCCTGAGGTGAGCTGGCAGATGGAGACGACGCAGGCCTACAAGGTGGTCACGTACCCAGTGAGGCAGACCCTGGAGGAGCTGGATAATGCCTTCCATGAATACGTTGCCGTGCACCTGACAGAGAAGCCTTTCCCCCTCAATGCCCTTGCAATGTACAGGGTCTCGGTGAAAACTTTCAGAACCTTCTTTGGGCAGTGCAAGGACCTGTTCCGCAGCCAGGAGACCTTGAGTTTCCTCAATCAAAGTGGCTTTGATGTCATCCTGACGGATCCGATCTTCATGTGCGGGGTCATCCTTGCCCATCATCTCTCCCTTCCCTTTGCCTTCATCATGAGGGGGTTCCCTTGCAACCTGCACTTTGCAGCGCCACAGTCCCCAAGCCCTCTGTCCTACATCCCAAGACTCTTCAGCTTCAACTCAGACCACATGACTTTTTTCCAGAGGGTGGAAAACGCCCTGATTTCCCTCCTGGAGCTTGGGTACTGCAACGGTTTCTTTGGGGAAGCACTTCAGCTTTCCTCAGAAGTTCTTCACAGGGATGTGTCTCTGACGGAACTCGTGGACTCCGCCGCCGTTTGGATCCTGAGGTTTGACTTTGTGTTCGAGTACGTCAGGCCTGTGATGCCCAACATGGTCTTTATTGGGGGGATCAACTGTGCTAAGAAGAAACCGCTGCATAAGGTAATGTTCCTTCACCTACAAATTGTACATTTCCCAATGAAAAGTCATTCTGTGGTTTAAGGAAGTTTATCTCCATTGACTCTTTTTTTTTTTTATTTCTGGTCATGATTGAATTCAACCAGGTTTGGATAGTTGTTTTCCACAGGCTGAAATCCCAAGTTTCTTGACAGTGACCTGCTTGAATTCATGAGGGTTTTCTAACAAGCCAAACAAAAGAGGCATTTCACCTACCTGATGGAAAGTACTGTCCTCAGTGAATGTGTATTAAGCACCATCCAGATCCAGTTTTGATTTCATTTTAACGGCATCTGACACATATTTCTCTTATCTGACCAAAACCCCAATCGTCCTCTTCTGTTTTTAACTCCAGGCTCATCAGCATCAGTTGATTCACTTTTCACATGTAATTTCATGACAAATTATTTCCAAACTGGCTGTCTGCATTGAGTTACTCCTGTTGTGGTGGTGATATATAAATGTTTCATTGAAATGGCAAGAAATAATCATACGATTATGGATTTGGTGAATGACACTTGAATGCAGAACTGAGGTCAGTTTTCACACCTACTTCTTGACATCTACTTTTCCCAGAGTTGCTCTGCAGGGTTTTTAAAGCTAATCTAGAAATCGAAATAGATTTTGATAGTCACCATGTAATCTCTCAAATGATAACACTGGACATTTCTTTCCAGTCACAAAGCAGGACACAAATCTCTTTCCTGGGAAATTGCTCCCTTACTTCTGAATTGTGGTCATGCAATATCTCTGCCCAATGACTTTGAGCTGAAGGGGTGGGTTCTTTCTTTCTTCTTTCAGATTTCTTTTTTGCTCTTTGACAGGCTTATGGAGAGCCCTCTAAACCTGATAAGGAAGGCAAAGAATGCAACTATTAGCTAGAATATTAGGATAAAATTATTTCTAAGGCATTCTATCACATTAGGCTCACAACAGTGAAACTAGTTTGAGATTGAAGAGGCAAATTCTTCCTGGTTACACAACACAAGTCTTTCGTTTTCTATCCTGAAGGTCTCAGAGCTACAAAGAGTTTGTAACTTTGCTACACGCGTGGAGACATCCTGCCCTCATTTTATATCTGCCAGCTCTTGTCTTCACTCTCCTGTTAGGTGAAAATCGCATGGAAAAATCTTGTATTGGCTGTTTTCAGCCAACTGGTTTTGCCATTGAAAAGCCGATTGAGTCCAGAGTAGAAAATGCAGCAAGCAGCAACTCCCAAGTTAATTTGGTCAGCTCTTGTCACAGCAGTTGCAATAAACTCTTTGCGTCCAGATTCCCTGCATTTAATGGGAATTCTTTCTAGATCTGTTCAGTCTCCTGCTTTCAGTCTGTGCCGTCTCCCATCTCTCCTGCCTCTCTGGCCCTCTCCAGAAATTGGTTTTCCATGTCTAAGGGTGGTTCCTCCGTGTCCAGTGTGACAGAGTGGAGCTATTCCAGGGACTGCCAGCACCCTTTGGGTGTCATGAGACAAATCCCTTTGTCTCAGGCTGCATGGATTTCTTTCTCCCGTCTAGAGGATGCTGGGAGTCCCACCACCATTTATAAAAAGAAGGGAGATGATGATGATGATGATGATGATGATGATGATGATGATGATAGTTTTTCATCACAAGGACTTCTTTCTCAGCACCATCCAAAAGCCTTTGCTCTGGCATTGCTTTTACTTGCACAGTCCAAACACTCCTGCTGTGGGATTAGTGGAAGGCATCGCACCTTCTCCTACTTTTTGTCTTGCTCACAATACATGAAAAGGGCTTTCAAGACTGCAAGCAAAGACCAAAACTCTTTCTTTGTGTCCCTGTGCCAGCCTCCTTTCCTTTTGTTTGCCCTGAACACAAGCATTAGTTCACTTTTTTGGTGTAGTGCCAGGAGGAAGCAAGCCAATCGGGATTGTTCTCCTCACACTTGGGATTGCATGGTACACCCCGGTGGCTGGGCCATCTTTGTAAGAGCTGCAGCTTTGGCTGCTTCCAGGGCGTGGGAATTCAACATCAGCCTCGTGTCAGCCTCAGGAATGGAGTTGCATCCATTCTGCTGGGTGTATTGTTATTATTTTCTCAGTGTGTATTCTTGCCAGGTCAATGGCTCTAACCACGGTTATGGTTACAACGTGACACCCCTGCTCTTGCTATCACAGACTTAGTGCTGACAGACTTTGAAGCTTAAACATTAACAGAAATTACAACTGTTTTTCTCTGAATACGGCTTCTCTTCCCTTCCACAAACATGGGCAAAATCACAGACGAATCACAACCCTGTTGGGAAGTTAAATATTAATTCCTGTAGCCAACAAATCCCCTGCTTAGTCTGCATGGACCATCATATAAAGGAGGGTGTGGATCCCTGCGGAGCAGAACCCTCTGGTTCATGCCCACCGAAATGGCTCTCTTTTACCAAGGTGCCGGGGTACTTCTCCTCCTGGCACTGTCTGTAATCCTGGCTGAAGGTGGGAAGATCCTGGTGGTACCCCAGGATGGAAGTCACTGGCTCAGCATGCGCCCAGTAGTGGAGAAACTGCAGCAAAAGGGACACCAAGTTGTTGTGGTTGTACCCTCAACCAGTCTGTATATGAAGTCAAAGGAGCCTCAGAATTACACAGTGAAAGTGTATCCAATCCCTTACACAGATGAATACTTGGATGAAATGCTCAAGACCTACGTTAATGCCCACTTTCTTGAACAATCTGTTTTGAATGTTGTTCTTACCTCGTATCAAAGCACGATAGCAATCTCCTCGATCTTCTTCACCAACTGTAAGAGCCTGCTGCAGAACGAGGAGCTGATGCAGGACTTGAAAGCGAGCAAATTCGATGTGGTTTTCACAGATCCCATCCTGATGTGTGGGCCCCTGGTGGCTGAGTATCTTTCCGTTCCTTCCGTCTACTTCCTGCGGGGCTTTCCCTGCGGAATGGATTCCGCTGCTACCCGGTGTCCAAGCCCTCCCTCCTATGTCCCCAGGTTATTCTTGGATAATTCAGACAGCATGATGTTTTCCCAACGGGTGAAGAACATGCTGGTCGATCTGCTGGAGCTCTTTTACTGTAAGCCTATCTATGATAACTTTGAAGAACTTGCCTACGAGGTTTTCAAAAAGAAAGTGACAGCGACAGAACTCCTGAGCCGTGGATCCTTCTGGCTGATGAGATACGATTTTGTGTTTGAGTTCCCGAGACCAGTGATGCCAAACATGGCTTTTATTGGAGGGATTAACTGTGTTCAGAGGAGAAAACTGTCTCAGGTACAAAATTTTCTTTGGTTTTTATAGGGAAAAGGCAAAAATAGAAATGTGTCATAGAATTGTGGAATGGCTTGGGTTGAAAGGGACCTTAAAGATTATCTCAGTTCACCCCCCTGCCGTCCTGGGCAAGGGATGTCACTCACATCCTTACATCAAATCCTGACTGACAGCAGCTGGGTGTTTAAAGATAGAAATCCTGCATGATGCAGAAATGTTATTTCCTCATACCTAGCATTCAGATGATATCACATCCTGCCAAACGTAAAGCCTTACCAGACTTAATTAGGACAATTGAAGTGACATAGAGCTTTTATGCATATATTTGTCTTTTTTTGTTGAACTCAAGAATTTTTGGTATCCTCCTTTCCCAGCTGTCCTGTGGACTGTCTGTCCATACTTCCATATATCCCCTCTCCTTTCATCCGCAGTGAAGGTTCTTGGACTGAAGGTTTTACCTCTTTGCTATCAGAGACATCCACTAGATTGCTTCCTTTCCATCTGCCTTTATTGTCAAGGTGTCAATAGCTAAGCTCCAAAGGAAATCCACTTTCACTTCCATCCTCCTCCCTTTTTTTTTTAGATTGCTGAATTAGGTTTTAAGCTTTTCTGGGAATGGCTATCTCCTGTCAATGTCCATTTGGGCTTCTGTGTACCAGCCTTCCCGTGTTCATTTGGCAGTCTTGTCTGAGGCCATGGCCCCTCTTCTGTGCATGCCCTTCCTCAGAACTGTTTGAAATCTCCCCATGAAGTTAATCCATGTTTTAAACTACCAATATGGGCTCAGCACACGTGATGGAGCTGCTGCTTCTTTTGGAGGGCAGGTTCTCAGCAAAGACCAAGATTTGCCACCAGGCTTGGGAAGGAACACACAGAAACTGCATGGGGGAAAAAAGCTCCAGGTAGAATTTAAAGCCCAGGATGCCCTGGAAAAGGAAATTGTTTCCCGAATTCAGCTACTTAGGAACTTTTATGAGAGGTTATCACCAGCAATAACCCCCCAGCTATTTAGAGCCAAGAAGGACCTAGACACAGGGTTGAGGTCATGAACTGACCCAACACTGGTCATGAACTGACCCCTCTTTGGCCATGAATGATTCCTGCCTTTTTGACCTGGAGAGGAGTTGTTGGTCTTCGTTATGTGGAGTACAAGGGTGAAATGCTCTTTTGCAACTTCATTTTATGTCTGGTAGGATAAGGGGTTAGATGAAAGTTATACAGCGAGATGAGGAAAGATGTTCTGCTGGCTGCTTATCCTCCAAAAAAATGCAAGTCTACATGAAGGAAAATTAATTTTTCTCAGGGCTGCCAGCTGGTTTTGACTATTGAAAAATCAGCAAAACCCAAACTGTACCGAGCTATACCCAGGTACTGTAACACTGATTTCTCCTATGAACCTTTAGTGCAAGTTATGTTTCACTGCACAACTTGCATCCGTTTCATTAGGGAGGAAAATGCTTTGACAAATTGCTAAATGACCTCAGTCAATGACAAGTCTGTCAGCCTTCAGTGGCAGCGATGGAAAAGAGTCCTTGCAGTGCTCCCTTGATAGGCACAGTCCTCCCATGAGGGATCAGCAATGTTTCTGCTCCATCCATCCCATGGGTGCATTTCTTTCCCGAATTTTCCCTGCATTTTGTCATCGGACCTCAGGCGTGGTGGGCTGGCGGCAAGAAGTGCCACAAAGCTGGCGTCCTGCTGAGGGAAGAAGGTGGCATTGAGCCAATAACCTTCACTTGGCGTGTGTGACGGTGACATGCCTTTCCTGACTCACCCAAAGCCACCTTTGAAATTCAAACCTGCCCTGAGTCTTTCCTAATAATTTATTGATATCGGTGACCTTGCTGCAAAGGTCTGTGGACCTGAAATGGGAGGTGAGACAAAGGGGAAGAGGTGGAGCACGGCTACAGGCACTGGCAAAGCAGCCCTGGCCTCTCTGGTGTGAGGAGTCCTCTCTGCACAGCCCACAGCATGCTGGTGGCACTGCTTCTCCCCTTCCTGTGCCTCCTGAGCCCGGCTGCTGCTGGGAAGCTGCTGGTGATCCCCATGGAGGGCAGCCACTGGCTCAGCATGAAAAAAGTGCTGCTCGAGCTGAGCAAGAGAGGGCACGAAATCGTGGTCATTGCACCGGACAACAAAATCCTGATCGATTCTTCAGGTGTCTACGAACTGAAAACCTACCCTGTGCCATTCACAAAGGAGGATATGGAAGAACACATACGATCCACTACTGCAAGAACTTTCAGCCAAGAGCCTTTCCTGGTGAGATTCTGGAAGCTTTTGGGACATTACAAGAAGAGTGGGACCCTTTTTCACGCTTCCTGCAAGTCCTTGCTGTACAACCAAGAGCTGATGAAGTACATCGGAGACAATCACTTTGATGCCCTGCTCACAGATCCCGTGTCACCTTGTGGGCAGATCATTGCCCTGCACTTCTCCATCCCCAGCATTTTCTTCCTGCGCCTGGTTCCCTGTGCCTTTGAGGTTCGCGCGGCTCAGGGCCCGGACCCACCATCCTACGTGCCACGCATGTTCTCAGAAAACACCGACCACATGACCTTCTCCGAGAGGGTGAAGAACTTCCTGATTGCCCTTTCTGAGTCCTTCATCTGCAGCATTGCCTACTCTCCGTTTGAAGAGCTGG